AAGTGGAAATAACTATTTCCTATTGTAATGCTAATTAATAATTCTTGCCATTATTTTTGTCTTTTTCAATCAATAGGTAAGATTTGTACTAGACTTTGCAAGACCTATGGTGTGGCAGATGAAGCATATAGGCATATTAAGTGGCTGAGGGACAGTCCTAGCTCTCATATAATGCAACTGTCCTAGCTCCATATATGATGCAGGGTCAATGATGATGATTGATAACATAATATACAAGATCCTACGGTCAGAAGAGAAAAAACTGTCTTTTTCCTCGTTCAAAATCTCATCAATCATTTTCTTTCATCGACCGTGTCAACCATCAATCGTTGCCAAATTGCCAATGCCATACACAACGGCACCACCAAAATGCCCCTGCTGCTTCCCTGGAATTCAAACTCTCGAAATGACCAAAAAACCCCTGCGTATTGTCACTGTCTTAACGCCCTCATATGTGCAGGGTTCACCGCCCCCACAGCCCCAGGCCAGTGGCCCACCATCCCCAGTACTCCCTCGTGTCAAACACTTATTAATTTTCACCAATTGCCATCAGTCCAACTTAGTGCCTCCCAGTCTCACTCTCTCTCCCCCTCCCTCTTTCTCTCCTCCAACACAAACACAGAATTGAAAAACAGTTCCTCAGCTTTCTCTCTCTATTTTTTATATCTTTTTTTTTGTATACATTTCTAATCTGCGCTTCCATAACAGAATATAACAGGATTCAATAACACCAACATCTCCCTCTTTTTCTTTCTTATATTTTGTTCCTAAACTGTACCCTTTTATAACATAAGAAAATAAAACCCAAAAATAATCACACCCACAAGGTACCATTTGGTACCAATCTCTCTTCCTCTCTCTGTGTCCATCTTTCCTCTCCATAGTCTCCAAAACCCAAAATCCCAAACCTTCTTCATCCAAAATCAACAAAAGGGCAAACAAAGTTTCCATTTTTTCCACAACCCAAAATCCCAAACTTCAAAATTAACGAAGGGGTACAAACTATTCTTGTAATTTTTACTAATTTTCTGCTCTAGATGGGTGCTGCTGCTAAGACTGTTTGTGCTCTGATATTCATAACCGTGCTAAACGTCTCCCTTTTCCGGCCCACCTCATCAGATCCAAGCGACGAGGCTTGCCTGACCCACCTAAGCCAATCCATACAAGACGCAACAAAGTCCCTCCAGAACTGGACCAAATCCACCTTCGCAAACCCATGTAGCGGCTTCACCTCCTACCTCCAAGGCGCCACCTGCAACAATGGCAGAATCTACAAGCTCTCCCTCACGAACCTCGCTCTGCGCGGCTCAATCTCGCCGTTTTTGGCCAACTGCACCAACCTCCAAGCCCTCGACCTCTCCTCCAACTTCCTCACCGGCCCAATCCCATCGGACCTCCAGTACTTGGTCAACCTCGCCGTCCTGAACCTATCCTCCAATCGGTTGGAGGGCCCAATCCCGCCGCAGCTCACATTGTGCGCCTACCTCAACGTCATCGATCTCCACGACAACTCACTCACCGGAACGATCCCTCAGCAATTGGGCCTTCTTGTCCGGCTTTCGGCTTTCGACGTCTCAAACAACAAGCTTTCGGGGCCGATACCGGTTTCTTTGGGAAATCGGAGTGGGAATTTGCCGAGGTTTAATGCCACGTCGTTCGATGGCAACAAGGAGCTTTATGGGTACCCTTTGGCCCCTCTGAAAAGCAAAGGGCTTTCGGTTTTGGCCATTGTTGGGATCGGATTGGGAAGTGGGTTTGCGAGTTTGGTGCTTAGTTTCACTGGTGTGTGCATATGGTTGAAAATTACAGAGCGCAAGATGGCTCTTGAAGAAGGCAAGGTCAGCCACCTCATGCCTGATTATTGAGAGACAAGAGCCTAATCTAATCCCCCAATTATAAGCTTGAGCTAAAATTTCAGGTATTTTTGGAATTTTTATTATTGAGAGCTTGGGATTTCAGTCCAGGGTGGGCAGTATTGTGCTTTTTGAATTTTTGGCTGTCTTTTACTGATGAGGGAATTTTTGTTTCTTATTTTCTTTTTTGGGTTTAATTTGGTTTTTCTCTTAACCATTTTGGGGGTCTTTTCTTTCTTTTTTATGCTTTTGATTCTCTCTATAACTTTCTCATCAATCCAACAATGTATAAAAACCCAATTCAACTAAAACACCATGTTTCAGTTTCAGTCAATCAAATAGTGCAGCAGCAGCCTCTATTATTTTTCTTCCCTTTCAAGTCTCAATGATGTATAATTGTAACTGATATATAATGCATTTTTCTTTTATCTGTGTTGCTTGCAATCCCCAATCTCTCTCTCTCTCTCTCTCTCTCTCTCTCTCTGGGTGTGTGGGGCAGTAAGTAGGGCAGGTTGAGAAATTGGAATTGTGTGTTGGGTCAAGAGCTGCACCGTGCAATTTTGTCTGGCAGTGAGCTAAAATATACTAAATCATCATCTGGTGAGAGAGCTTTTATAAATAAATCTAATGGATTTTCACTTGCTCTTGGAGCTTCTTGTGCTTGGCTATTGTGAGCTGGAAGGAGACCAACAGAACCACATGGTATGGAAATTGTCGACCTCTGCGCCTCTCAAGGCTTTAAATATGGTGAGGATTTGCTCTGCCTAGCCCAACATTCTGTGCAACCCTTGCTCCTTATTCTACTTGGGGTTTGAGTTTTATGTTTGCTTTCTCTGCTACTCTGCCATTACTGTACAAGTTTACAAAAGCATAAAAAAAATATTTGGGAGTTTAATTAAGGATTAAACAAATAAAAAACTGGCGAAACAATAAACTTGTAACTTAAGTAGTTAAAAGTATTTACTCGTGCAGTTAAAGGCTTCAATTCGATTCCCCTCTCTCTCAAATCGCTTATATAAAATAATAATAAAAGACTTGGCCAGAAATTTTAACAATAATTCACTGTGCCATGCCAAGCTTTTAGCAATATTTTTCCCACCTTGTATTGTATTGATGATTAGATAACATGTAATATGTGTCGTTCCCATTATTGTGGTTTATGGGTTATATGATGTAAGCTCTAGCCCTTTTCGTCCCTACCCTGTCAATTTTTATTTTTTTATCTTTCTGTGGATATTTTTATTTGTTTTGGTAAACGTGGGTCAAGGCTCCTTCCTAGCTTGGTTTTTTTAAACCCTCTAGGATTTAACTTTGCTTTCCTTGGTTTAAACTTCTAGTTAGTGACATTAAGATACTCTTAGATTTGTTTTTAATCGGTGCTTTGCATGTGTCTGTGTGCAAAGCCCCTAGATTCTTTACAAACCATGAATTTTTTTTCATGGGTTAGTTAGTGGTAACGTGAACCTAATCTTAAGCAATAAATATGATACAATTTGAAAGGAAAAAAAATAAGAAGAGCGAAACAAACTCCACGTCCAATTGTAGCCTGCATTATGCATCAGTTATCATTTATCAAAATTCCTACAAGAGGGTTAACGGGAAAATAGTATTTACTTATAGAGTCATAACACTTTGATAGCGTGTGTGAGAAAACCCCATCTCTTTCTAACTTTGACAAAAAAAGCAAAAACAATAACCAATACCTACAAGAAGACTATGTTTCTGGTCCAATTACAAGAATTAAGAAAGGGAAATGTACATAAAGTTAAAGCAATACAATATTGAAAAGAGCTATTTCTTTTGACCAATTTAGACGTATGAAATTGTGAATGGCAGGAAATGAGAAATATTTTTCAAATTAAACCCTGTTCCAATAACACGGGAAATAGAAAAAAACAACGTATAAAACTTGATTAGCTCAACCGAATTAGACAAAGATCCGAGACACAAATGATGGAATTTTGTCACCAAGGATCAGCAAAATGTATGTCATATTCATCAACACTAGGCCCTAGACTTGTCTGTGTCTAATCAACACTATACCTGATCCAACGGCTGTGATATCAAATTTCAATTTTCCCTTTATTTTCAATTTCAACTCACACCGAAAGCAAAGATGGTCAAATGAGCTTTCATTCCTCTCATGAATGGGGTCCCTCCGAGAATGGCATGCATTTCATCATGGGATTGGGGCCCATGCGCCCCCTTCCCCCTCACCTCCCTCCCAATTCATGCTGTGTAATTGAGTAATTTTCTGAACCCAACTTGATAAATTGTCGTTACTTATAAAACTGCTGAGTGGCTCAGTCCTCCGCAGTTGGTCCAGTGACTCACAAGAGCTGTGCTTTTTTCCCTTCAATAATCAAATATTATTGCTGCAACTTCAAGCTCTGTGCTTTGGTAACAAGCAGGACTGGTGGCTTGCCGTGGACCACAATTTATATGAATTAACTGAAAAGGGATGTTAATTATGTGTAGATACATGCAAATTATACAAAATATGATTTGGCAGTGTAACTTCAATACTTCAACGCACTAGTGCACTAGGCATTTATTGTTTGTATGGATTTTAAGAGCGAACAACGGATTTTATAGTTTAGGGTATATATATAGTATTGATAAATAAAACATGATTTGAATTTTATAGTACGTGGTCGTGTTTCAGTATAACATAATAATTTGTCTAATTTAATGTAACATCTAAGCAATACGTGGAGCTTTCGACATATTTTGTAAGAGAAATTATTGTATGATATTGGAGTACGATTACGTGATATAACCCATCAATCTGTTTTAATATTAATGAATAACATCTAGTATCAATGAGTTACATCACATCTCCATACTCCACTAAAGCAAATTGTAATGTTATTATAGTGAGCAAATCGTATGGTATGAATAGATTTTCCTTGTAGAATCATGCTTTGACCGGTTAGTTTAATCTTCAAAATGTGGGCCTGGGTGTGAAGAGCAATTCGTTGTGGTGATGTACAAGTTAAAACCCTAATAATAAAATGGGCCAAAAACAATAGGACTTCAAAGTTCTGATTCTGAATGCTCAATTTTCGTCCTTAGAAATTGGTCCAGTCGACCTATATTCTCCCAAGCCCAACTCTCAATATCAACTCAACTTTAAAAGCAGAAAACAAAACCGTTCCCATTTTTGGGTTCGCACCAAAAATCAAAACCCTAAACCCTTTATAGCATTGAGCTCCAAGTTCGGAAGCTACGGACTCTCCCATGGCTGAAACTACGGAGAAGCCACCCAAGGATATTGAAAGCGAAGACGAAGAGGAGCAGACGTTCGAAAGCCTCGGATTAGACGGTCGTCTTATTCGTGCCCTAAACAAGAAGAAAATTGACAAGCCCACCCCCATTCAGCAAGTCGCCATACCTCTCATCCTTGTTAGTTTTCTTTTCCGAAATTAATCTACTTTTATTACCTGTTTGGCTTCCCAGAAAATGCAGGAAATTAAAAGAAAATTTAATGTTGAAAACTGTGTTAATTGATTGTTTTCTTGCATTTGGGAATGCGTTTCAGCAAGGTAAGGATGTGGTGGCCAGGGCAAAGACTGGGTCTGGAAAGACCTTTGCTTATCTCCTGCCGTTGCTTCAGAAGTTGTTTACTTTAGAACCAAAGAAGAAACTTGCTCCGAGTGCGATTGTTCTCGTCCCTACTCGAGAACTTTCTCAGCAGGTTTGTACATTTTGTAACTGTTCCCGGTTCGAATTCTCTTTGCCGTTTTAGATTTCTTGCTAATGGTTGTGGTACATATGCAGGTTTATACAGAGGTCTCTTCATTGATTGAATTGTGTAGAGTTCCATTGAAAGTTGTGCAGTTGACAAGCAGCATGCCTGCACCTCATTGGGTTTGTTCAGCTCCCTTTTCCAATTATATGAAATGTAAATGTGGACAAGCACGCACATGCAAGTGGAGATTTTATATTTTTGCTGACTCTTTCTTATCCACAATATTGCTTGCAGCGCACAGCTTTGGCGGCGCTACCTGAGATTCTGGTTACCACTCCAGCTTGCGTAAAGAAATGTTTGTCAGATGGTGTTCTTCAGCCAACATCCATTGATGAGTCACTAGAAATTCTTGTTCTTGATGAGGTGAGAGAACATTTAGTTACAAACAGACGCACAAACATATTTGTCAGTTTTGGTCAAGTCTGATGGAATGTGTATTCATCGCTTGCATTCCTATTAATTTTGTTCACCTTAAAAGACTATTTGCTCCTCAACTAATATTGTTATTCATACATTACATTTTTCACGTGGTTTTTGAAATCATAGATGCTTTGAATTTAAGACTAATATATGGTTGTTAGCCCTTATTACGAAACTAAAATAGATGTTAAGCAATGTATTCTTTTAGGATATTTTCTTTTTTCCCATTGTCAAAATTTGAAGAATAATTGTTGGAATTATCCCATTGGCAGATCATTGAACTATATTTTCTTTCAGGCAGATCTTCTGTTGTCATATGGATATGAGGGAGATATAAAAGCATTAACACCTCACATCCCTAAACGTTGTCAATGTCTTCTTATGTCTGCCACCTCAAGGTTTGTTATTTACACAATATATGCACCATTTTTACTTTCTGCAGATTAGGAGTAATGACGTTAATGATTGATGTGTTTTGTGAAATTGTGTATCTGTTTATGGCTCAAGAGTTGATTTTTTCCCTTCATTTTTCCACTCTATGGTTTCACTTTGTAATATGCTATTGACACCTAGCATTTTATAATACTTGGCAGTGATGATGTTGAGAAACTGAAGAAGCTGATTCTACATAATTCTTACATTTTGACTTTACCGGAAGTGGGAGATATCAAGGACGAGGTCATCCCAAAAAATGTTCAGCAGTTTTGGGTAAGAATTTTGAAGCCTTTAACAGGAAATCAATTATCCACAACATTCAGATGTTTCAACATCTTTTCCGAAAGTGTTGTACAATTTATAACACAGTCCACATGAATTAGAAGGAACCCGTCAGTTAGCCATGACCGATCAGTTGCTTTTCTTTAATAGCATAAATTACTGCTTGTCTTTGAAGAATGCTATGGGAATTTAGCTTTTCCTGGTATAAAATACTATCAAATGTATTGCTAAAAACCTATATTTTTCTAAGGCATGTCTGACTTCATTTTAATGCTTATTCTTTCTTTTATGTTCTATATTCTCTCCCCCACTCTCGATTTATGATTTGTCTCTCTTTATGTAATAGCGATCTTTATGGGTTTTTGTGTGTTCTTTAATGCTTCGTGTTATCGGGTTATACTTCTGTGTATTCACTTCTGATTGAAATGAGATTATCATATGGCTATCAACTTATGTTTTTCTTTGCAACTTGTGCCTATTATTTCTTTTCCTTTAACTTAGCTTTCCTGGTATAAATAATGTCTTGCTAAAAAATATATATTGTTAAATCATGTCTGACTTCATTTTGATGTTTATTTGTTATCTTCTGTTCTTTATTCTCTCCTCCTCTGTGTATTTTTTATTTATATCTCTTTAAGTACCAATGATATTTTTGTATTTTTGTGTGTTTTTCAGTGCTTCATTGATCTGGTTTCATATGTGCCTATTCACTTCTCATGGAAACGAGACTATCATATGTCTATTAACTTATGTTTTTCATTTGATTGTTTCTTAGATATCATGCAGTGCACGCGACAAGTTACTGTACATCCTTTCCCTCTTGAAATTGGAGCTGGTTCAGAAAAAAGTTCTGATATTTACTAATACAATTGACATGGGATTCAGATTAAAACTATTTCTGGAAAAGGTATATCGATTTTTTTTTCAGATGTATCCGCATAGGCGAACTTAATTTTTTTTTTTTTTTTTTCCACAAAGACAAAATCCTTTAGATGGAGGGAGAGTTGATTTATGCTTTTATAGTTTACATGTTACAAAGTCTCAGTGCCTTTAGCAGTTTCTTGTTCTCTTTTTCTTTCTTTTTTTGGCCTAATTGGTGAGGGGGAGGGAGGGAAAGTTGATTTTTGGCTTTACAGTTACATGCCTACAAAATTTAATTGCCTTTAACTCTCTCTCTCTCTCTCTCTCTCTATCTCTATCTCTCTGGGTCTAATTGTTAAGGGAGGGAAGGAAAGTTGATGTATGCCTTTATATTTAATTGCCCACAGTGTTTAAGGGCCTTTAACAGTGTATTGTTCCCTTTATTTTTTGGTCTAATTGGTGTGTGAAGGAGGGCATTGATTTATACTTAATAGTCGTAACTTAATCTCTCTCTGCTTTTTTACTTTTTCATTGTCTATTTTTGCAGTTTGGAATTAGATCTGCTGTTTTAAATTCTGAGTTGCCACAGAATTCTCGTCTCCACATTCTTGAGGTTCGTCAATATTCTAATCTAATGCTATGGCAATGTGGTCATATTTCTTAATTTGGTATCGATTAGAGTTAAGAGTTAGTTCCCAGTCTACCATTTTGAGAATGATATTTCACGAAATCCTAACCCCCTTGGTTTGCCAACAGGAATTCAATGCTGGGCTTTTTGATTATTTGATTGCAACTGACACCAGCAAATCAAAAGAGAATGAAGACAATGGGGAGAGTAGTATTGAACCAAAAAAGTCTAGAAAGCATGCTAAGCATAAAGCCGACTCTGAATTTGGAGTGGTGCGGGGAATTGACTTCAAAAATGTGCACACGGTATGTCATTACTATACTCGGTGGTATGTTTTTTCAAGCTATCATTCTTTACATTCAATTTTGACTGGGTAGTTCTTGGATATCATGTATGTATCCGAGATGCTTTGTTGGAACTCAATGCATTTAAATGACGCTTTGCGTAGGTAGAACTAAATTCACTTATTGTAATTTCTCTGTTTCCTGATATTACTTTGTGAGATACCATGTTCAGCTAGCATACCATTTAACCATGTCTGCTTTTGATTATTTTTTGCAGGTTGTAAATTTGGATATGCCTCAAAGTGCTGAAGGATATGTTCATCGGATTGGACGTACTGGAAGAGCATATAGTACTGGTGCTTCTATCTCCCTTGTGAGTTTGTTAATCAATGATCATTACAGCATTAACACGCCCGTGGCCCGGCCCACGATCTCCCTTTTCAGCATAATTTCAAATAGAAGACCCATAATCTGAATTTAATATCTACCCTGTTATAACGTATAACCCCATGCATCCCCTCTGAAGTATTCAAGCTCTTTGGGATGCCATAACATATAACCACAACCAGGCTGTTCCAGTGAACCCAAAATGCTTCTGCTGTTACTTTATTGGTAGTGCATTTGTGATGCAATAATATATGAACTGCAAATGTTCGTTTGTAGATTTTCTAAATTTGATTCTTTGCTTTTAAGTTTGTGTTCATCCCTGAATGTTTTGTCTTGCTTAAGACCTCTGTATGTTTATGATGATGATCTTATCTTGTGAAACATTTTAACGTTCTAATTTTTTTTTTTAAATTTCTTCTAACAGGTTTCTCCAGATGAGATGGCAATTTTTGAAGAAATAAAATCCTTTTTGGGGGACGATGAAAAAGACGACTCAAACTTAATTCCTCCATTTCCTTTGCTGACCAAGAACGCAGTGGAGTCTTTAAGATATAGAGCTGAGGTGATTCTTCTGACTCTTTTATCGTTCATGATTTGGTTCTCTGTCTTTTCATTTCAAAGGCTTCATGGATCACTTCACTATTTTTCGCCTGAGTGGACCCATTATGGTCAAGCTAACCATGAATTTGGGTCTCCTGTTTGGTGATTTGTTTTGCTTTTTTTGATCACCTTGTTGAATTGCATCATTCTGATTCCTGATATGCCATTGGGTGGAAGTTTATTGTACGGTTAAAGGCCCCCCAGATCACCTGATCATAAGCACTGACTTCTACAGGATGTTGCAAAGAGTGTGACAAAAATTGCTGTCAGAGAATCGCGAGCTCAAGATTTGAGAAATGAAATTCTCAATTCTGAAAAGTGAGTATATACTATTGTCGCTTTCTTTATCTGCATGAGGTCCTTTGCACCAACACTCTTGCAAAATTAGGTACATGGCTTGTGGAAAATAATCAATATCGCTAAATCTTTTTTAGCGCCTACTATGCTGATTGGATCACAGATACACAGTAGTCAAAGTTAATTTGATTGAGCGCAGCTACTTGTGTTCTTTTTAGTTTTTTGCTTCTCAACCTATGTTTTCTCTGCACTAACCTCTCCTACAACTTGCAGCTTTTGGTTTCTAATAACAATCTGTTTTTATCCGTGTAGGTTGAAGGCTCATTTTGAAGTTAATCCAAGAGACCTAGGTATTGTTTAGTTGAATGTACTGGGTCTTCTGTTATACTTGCTTACTGTACCTTTGAAGTTACAAGATTTAGACATTACTAATTTATAATTTTGAGCAGATCTGTTGAAACATGACAAGGCTCTAAGCAAGAAGCCTCCTGCTCCTCACCTACGCGATGTGCCTGATTATCTATTGGATGCAACAACTAAAGAAGCCAGCAAGACTGTTAAGCTTGCTAGAGCTGCAATGGGAAACACCAACCCTGCTCGCCGCCATGGATTTAAGAGAAAATCCAAAAAGAATAAGGACCCCCTCAAGACTTTCACTGCTGAGGTACTTTGCATTTTTCTTGTACCTAACCTCTTCATTATTTCAAGTTATGTCAATTTCGCTTGATACACATGCAACTAAGCTCTTGTTGCTCCGAGTGCCAATGCGCAGAGAGACTGGAATTAGTTGCTGATGAATCTTGTAATAATCTGATAACAGGGACATAAGAAAGCTCGTAGAGGCGGGATGAAGCAAGAAGGAAAAGATGGCAATGGCAACCATAGACAAAAAAAGAGAAAGACCTGATATACCATTTAAGTTAATTACTGTATACGCATATACAGCGGCTAGCAAGCAACTCCCACAATTTTGTATCAAGTTATAGTGATAATACCTCTTTCTTTCATACATCTATTCGTCAATTTGACATGCGGTTCAACTTTCTACTCTTGGGAGAACATCTGGTTCAACTTTTGTTGTGTAAATGTAATTTTGATATTTAAGGCAAAATTGTTTGGTACAAAGACGAGGGACACAGAAGTGTTCATATCAGGCTGATCTCTGCGTGGACAAGACTCGCAAATTTGGAAGTTGCACGATACTTATTTTCAGCTTTTTTAAGTTTTCTATTTTTCATGCATGTCATTTGAGATGCTTTGTTCGTCCTTTGCTAGCTGTTTACATCCACACTTGAATGATGGGCCAATTAACTGTCATATGTTTTGAAGTTTGATTTTATTGTCATCGACTAGCTGGTGATCTAATAGTATTAGTAGTATTTAGGAGTATTCTCCTCAGTTCAAATCTCCTTTCAGTGACGAAAAAATGAAAAGAAATTTGATTTCGTTGTCATAATTTTTCTCCCGGTGAAGCTCGTCATTGTCATAATATTTTGGTTTGAAATTTGGTGACTTTCTTTATGAACTTTTTAATGAATTTAATCACAAAGCCTTAAGCCTTAAAGTATCTGCAGGTAAAGCACCTGAGATTGAAAAGTCCAAAAGCTTGAGAGCAGTTATTGTTTGTGCAAATAATCTCACGGGAGAATATTCGCTTCTAGATCCTTCAACCTTCGATCTTCCTTCTCTCTCTTCCTCGATTCCTGTAAAACAGATTGGAGTAAATAGACCACACCCGGGGGGAATTGGCCAAAGGCCTTCCGATGCCTAAGTTAGTTCGAGTGTTTGTAGAAAAACAATAGCTAAGCAAAAGGTACGGAGTAGTGTTTATGTAGGGTGTGAACCGGGCGGCCGGAGCCGTGTGTGGTGGCCGGAGCCGTGTGGAGAAAATATGGAGAGTGGAGAGGGAGAAAGAGCTTCGGGTATTTTTCTCGGGTATAAGGAGTAGGTTTAGATGTACCTTGAATGATGAATGAAGTCATCTATTTATAGGAGCCTCGGGACTAGGGTTTCGTAGAGAATATGCTGAGTTTATTCTCTACCCAAATTCGTAGGGATCGAGTCGGACTGAGATAATATCTGATTTAATGATATTATCTCTTTTTATGGAGATAATATCTGAATTAAATGATATTATCTCTTTTTATGAAGATAATATATGAGATAATGACATTATCTTCTCTTTATTAGGATAATATCTTAATTAATGATATTATCTTATTAAATAAAGATAATATCATTTAATTAAGATATTTATCCTAATTAATTAATTGGCCAGATAAACTGGTTCAATTAATTAATTAAAAGAAATAATCTTCTTTTTCACGTGACGTGTTGTGATTGGAGACGAAAATATCTGCTCCCACAGTTATTCCTGTAATCGAAGACCTTGTGCTGGAATCCCCTCGTCCAATATCGATTGCGTCAAAAAAGAAAACGTCAACATGCAAGGGGCATGCTTGGAAAAAAAACGAAGAAAAAGGCATGGGCCATGGAGTGGTTACCCCCCTATCTGTGTCGACAATGATGTGGATGGAGGGACTAGCTTTTTCTTTGTGGTAGTTATACCTTGTATGCATTTACAACCCTCACCTGCAATACAAGTGTTGATTAGAGAGCCACGTGTCCACGTGCAAGGCAGTTGTAGATTGTGATTGTTCTTTATGATTTGCTTGTTCCCCTCCAAATAAAATTGAATCTCCCACTTATGATCTCTCCCATTCGCGTGTGCTAATTGGTTTTTAATTTGTTTTAAAATTAAAAAAAAAATGTATATGTAATTGTGTGCCATGAAAAATATAATTTATTATCTGATTTTATTTTTAATTTTAATTATATATATATAATATATATATTTTTATTTTATTTTTAGAATAAAGAAAATATAAAATAGGTAGTTATGTTCCATAAAAGTATAATATATTATCTGATTTTGTTTTTAATTTTAATTTTTTTTAATATAAAAAAAATGTGAATTTATCATATTATTCTTATTTAATTAATAATTTTAATTCTTAATACTTGTATTAATCAATAACATTTTCTGGCATTTTGAATGTTTTACAAATGTTTTGAACTTGCCGTCAAATGTTCAACCAAATGAAAGCCCAATTCAAAACACAACAATTCTGTAATGAGAGTGTCATATATGGACCCATGCCTTCATATTATGTGATTACTTTTGCGTAAATGACCTAATACCAAAACGCACCGTTAGTTTATGTCAAGAAATGCTTCAGCAAAATAGACAATGCTTGTGATTATTTTTGTACTTGGGTGGTGGTCCTTTCTCTTACCGGGACGGCAGGACCATTTGATGGCAAACTTACCTCTCTAATAGCTTTCTAGGTTTATGATATAGATGGCAATTGCGTGTCATGTCATGTAATATTGTCGACGCAATGTCATGTCGCATGCATACTGACATGCATACTCAATAATTGAATATAGTTATCTTTTATTTCACTTGAATAGACAAATTGTAAATTACTGAAATCCCTAATTTGTTTACCACTGATGGGAACAATTTGATAATAAAAGCGACCTACTTTCTTGGTTTGAGTCCTGAATGAATGGTAATCCTTTCCCTTGGATTGCCTAACTAACTTTGGTGCATGCTTTCAATGCTACTATGTGGTCCATTACATAATCAAGTGGGGCAGTTTCTTTTATCCCACTTCAAAGGAACAATTGTTTTTCTCTATTCTTTTCCCATTGAGGAAATTTCTGGACTATTCTATTAACTTTAGCCTTAGTTCTTTTTCTTAGAAAAAATAATAATTAAACAAGACTCTTTTTTGTGTGTGTGTGTGGATATTAGCGATGTCGGGAAAAGAAGGAATTGAATTTTAGGATCTCGAGTGTACGAATAAAACACTCTAATTAATTCCTTGAACTACAAGTCCCTCACGGTTTTTTTTAAAATTTTTTAGCCAGAAGGTAAAGAAAGAAGTCTAGATTGCACCCCTATTTACTCTTGTGAAGGTACACGCATATTTGGACATTAACTATGACAATTAAGCCAAGGGACAGCACCAGATACAAAAATCAATAACAATACAATGAGCCTTCACTTCCCCAAAAATGCTCCTACAAAAGGCCCCATGCCCACAGCCATACCATCCTCACCCACAACATTCAGATTCAAAAGCAGCAACATTGTCACCTTTCTCCTCCATAACCATAACAATAATCAACCTCACCTTTCTACAAGCTTCCATAATCACAAACCCACTACAACAACAGCAACAGAAAAATTAAGCAAAAGCTCTAGTACCAGTAACTCCTGCATTTCTTCTTCACCATCTGGGTCTTTTTCTTTGATTCGGACCAAGATGGTGGCAATGGTGGCGGTAGATCCCTACGTTCTCTGGACCTTCTTTGCCTCCCTCTTGGGTTTCGTTACTCTCTCTGTTCTCCGTCGCCGTAATTACGGTAATGGCATGGCCAAAGACAGGGGCAAGGTACAGAAGAACAAGAACAACACGAATAAGAGCCTTGTTTCAGAACAATGTGTCAAGAGCTCCGACGAAGGAGAATTCCGGCCGGTGTACCTCTCCGGCACCGACGTCATCATTGTCGGCGCCGGTGTTGCTGGCGCTGCTCTCGCCCATACCCTTGCCAAGGTAAGAAAAAAAATAAATAAAAAAATCCCTTTTTTGGGGTCAAATTTTATAGCTTTTTATGGTTTTTGTTTGTTTGAAGAAAACTTCTTCATGCGTAGCGCGTTGCCTTCAGAAAACTTGTTTTCGTTTTACAAGAAATGGTTGCTTATTATGTTTTCTTTTTGTGTTGTGCATAGCTGATTGAATTAGGCATGCCAGGTTTTATTATATTCTTAGATAGAAAGTTGATGACGCAATTGTTTAGTTAATAAAGTTGTTATTTTATTGATTAATTAAATGGAATTTAAAAGTTCAATGTTTGTACGGGAGATTGATAAGGGGTCTAGTTAAGTATGGTTGATAACTTGCAATGAAATCACTGGCTTGCTAAAAATTGGGAGGGATGGTTCTGTTTTCCACGAAGTTTTGAAAATGATTTACATGCTTTTTTATCCATCAACAACCATTCAGCTCCTGTAAAGGTATTTGTGTAGAAATGTAGAGTCTTACTTTATCTGCTGCTAATTGCAGGAGGGAAGACGTGTTCATGTGATTGAAAGAGACTTGACAGAGCCAGATCGAATTGTTGGTGAACTTCTCCAGCCAGGGGGATACTTGAAATTGATTGAGTTGGGTCTTGAAGGTAATGAAAGTTACTATTTTTTGAGTTTTGTGCTCTAGATGTTATTTGAACTAGAAATGCCAATGATGGTGGCTTTGAGTGCTGAATATCCTGCTTCTCTTAGTATTGGTTTCGGTTGCGAAATCCAACAATAACATATATGACCATTGGTTTCAGATTGTGTGGAGGAAATTGATGCTCAGCGAGTGCATGGATATGCTCTTTTTAAGGATGGGAAGAATACTAGGCTGACCTATCCTCTGGAACAGTTTCACTCGGATGTGGCAGGAAGAAGTTTCCACAATGGGCGATTCATACAGAGGATGAGAGAAAAAGCTTCTAAACTAACGAAGTAATGTTTCTTGCCTCCTCATTTGGACGCTTATTCTGTCTTGCTTCCTTCCATGATGTGTGGTTTTATGTTATCTTTACTTTTTCGATGAAGGTTCTGCTTTTCTAAGTGTTGTTTTATGCTAAAAGATTACTGATTCCCGCACATTATCTTGTGTTCATTGTTTCTTTTCAGTGTACAGCTTGAGCAAGGTACGGTAACTTCCCTGCTTGAAGAAAATGGGACAATTAAGGGGGTTCAATACAAAACCAAGGATGGTCAAGAACTTAAAGCATATGCTCCTCTTACAATTGTTTGTGATGGTTGTTTCTCAAATCTGCGCCGCTCTCTTTGCAAGCCTCAGGTAAAGTTGCCTTCTTTAAATCTGTAATAGCACTATTACTTAGTCTGATTAGGAGAGGGATAGAGCGATACACTTGAAGAAAGCTTCTGGTAAAACAGTTGGCTCGTTTGGTTTTTCATCTCCTAGCTTCAGAGATTTCTATTTGAACTACATCCATTGTCTTGAATTGTCTCCAATTTTTTATTCCATACCATTTAGATTGACAAATATGGTATCAATCTACTTTTTAACAGGTAGAAGTGCCATCCTGTTTTGTGGGATTAATCTTGGAAAATTGCGAACTCCCATTTGCAAATCATGGGCATGTAATTCTTGGAGATCCCTCTCCAATCCTGTTCTATCCAATCAGTAGTACAGAAGTCCGCTGTCTGGTTGATGTACCTGGCCAAAAATTACCTCCCATTGCCAATGGTGAAATGGCCAACTATTTGAAGACTGTGGTGGCTCCACAGGTACCTGTCATTTTTGAATTTACAGTTCTTCATTTCAGATATTGAAACATTTTGCTGGGTCCTAATTTATTGACAGTACTTGTCTTGTTTTGAAACTTTGGTTTCAGAAAGAACATCTGTGACCTGCCTTGCAGTTAATTCTTTGTTCCTTTTTGGCCTGAACCTGCTTCTTTCTTCTCGTTTAAATTAATGAAGAAATTGTCTGTTTCAGGTTCCACCTGAACTTCATGATGCATTCATTTCTGCAGTTGATAAAGGAAATATCAGAACAATGCCAAATAGAAGCATGCCAGCCAACCCACAGCCAACTCCAGGAGCTCTTTTGATGGGTGATGCTTTCAATATGCGACATCCTTTAACTGGTGGAGGAATGACTGTGGCACTGTCTGATATTGTGGTACTCAGGGATCTTCTTAAGCCACTGCGTGACCTACACGATCCAGCTTCATTGTGTAAATACCTAGAATCCTTTTATACCTTGCGCAAGGTAAGCTGTGTTGCGATGCTTGTACTAGAGATGCTATTATCACATTACATATTCAACTGATATTTGGTGTTGTCTTTGCAGCCGGTTGCATCTACAATAAATACCTTGGCAGGTGCCCTATACAAGGTGTTCTCTGCCTCCCCTGATGAAGCAAGGAAGGTGATGCGCCAAGCATGTTTTGACTATCTAAGCCTCGGAGGTACCTGTTCAACTGGACCAGTGGCTTTGCTCTCTGGTCTAAATCCCCATCCATTGAGTTTGGTTCTTCATTTTTTTGGTGTGGCGGTATACGGTGTTGGCCGTTTGCTACTACCATTTCCTTCACCAAAACGCATTTGGATTGGAGTCAGATTAATTTTGGTGGGTTTCTCTTTTCACCTTAATTTTCCTTGATGGTTATAGAATGTTGAATCATGGTTAGCGTCTACGCCTTTCAAAAAGAGTTAGATACCTTGTTTTCCAACTGAGCAGGGCCTTTTGCCTCCATTGTATATACGGTATACATGAATTAAATTAGTTTTTATAATTCTTAATGAAGGGCTTCTTCTTTTTGCCAGAGTGCATCGGGTATAATAATTCCCATCATCAAGGCAGAAGGAGTGAGACAGATGTTCTTTCCGGCTACTATTCCAGCTTATCATGGAGCTCCTCCTGTTGAGTGAGCTACAGAAAATGATATGAGAGAGAGCAAGGTGTGCTTCAGATTTGTTGCCTTTCAAAAGTCAAGACAAACCAGCATATACCTGCAACTTCTTTCTTGTTAATGATAGATTAAGAGGAAATTCCATTTGTATTTTTTTTAACCAATTGTATCATTATTTATTGGTTTAGGACCACTCTCAATGTATGAACAAGAAGTGATGTGAAACTCAAAATATGTGTATCTTATGTCGACTATATGGTAGATATTTGTATTACATTCGTTGCATTTTTTATTGGCCTATTGATAAGATATTACACTGGATCAAGAGTGGATATCTATGCAGATTTTAATCAAAATCTTTGACCCATAGAGAACAGAAAGAAAAAGAAGAAAAAGAAAAAAGAAGACTGATCCCTCTTTCTCAACTTCCATGTCCAGCCTATGTAAAATATTCACTCCTACATGTTTTCATGACTCAATCCAACTGCATCCCCGTGTCTTCGCCACCCCCGTTCTGTTCATCAATTCTCTCACATTAGCTGCTTCTTCCCATTGCCCAGCAGCTGCATAAATACTTGCCAAAAGCACATAAACAGTTGGATTATTTTGTTCAGTTTCAAGGAGAAATCCAGCAACTGTTCTTCCTAGCCTTAAATTACCATGCGCTGCACAAGAACTGATTAGTGTCCACCAAATATTTGGATGTGCTTTAATATGCTTGCTGTTTATTACCGTTTCCGCCTCATCAATATACCCAGCACGACCTAGAAGGTCAACTATACAAGAAAAGTGATCTACTTGAGGCATAAAGCCATAATCATTAATCATGGAATTGAAAATTCGGGTACCATCAACGACTAAACCAGCGTGGCTGCAAGCAGAAAGGACTGCCGTGAAGGTGGCCTGATCTGGTTTGACTGCAGCGGAGTCTTGCATTGCCTCAAAGCAGCGCACAGCTTCATTTCCTTGCCCATGCTGTGCATAAGCTGATATCAGGGAATTCCAGGAGACTGTATCCTTTTGAGGCATCGCATTGAACACTCTTACTGACCAATCTATAACCCCGCATTTAGCATACATCGTAATGAGGGCGTTATGTAAGCACATCTGGGGGAAAAACCCAAATTTGAGAATGTAGCCATGAACTTGTTTTCCATCTCTCAAGGCTGATATGCTTGCACAAATGCTCAAAATACTAGTTAATGTACACACATCTGGCCTGTGTTCTGACATTAGCAGTTTCGAAAATTGCACTAACCCTTCTTTTACCAATCCATTTAACAGAAACCCAGAAATAATAGCATTCCATGAGATCAAATTTATGTGATTGATATCTTTAAATACTTGGTAGGCCAGATTCATGTGACCCTGCTTAGCATATGCAGAAACTAAGGCATTTGAAACTTGAATGTTAAGGATAAGCCCATCTTTCTGTGCAAGGGCTTGAACCGCTTGCACAGTCTCAGTGAACTCAGAGCTTGCTAACAAACTTCCAAAAGTAAACTCATCTGGTTTTACTGCTGCCCTCTGCATTTGTAGGTAGATCAAGATGGCCAAGTTACTGCTATTTCCCTGAGAATAAGTCGAGATCATGGTGTTCCATGATATAAGATCCTTCTCTTCCAATACCTGAAAAACCAGGTAAGCTGCATGCAAATCCCCACAACCAGAATACATGGTTATTGCTGCATTGCTCACAGAAGTAAAAGCTTCGAAACCCAACTTTATAGCTTGGGCATGTATGTGGTTGGCAACTCTTACAGCTGAACATGAGCTCATAACACTTACAAAAGTCAGTTCAGTTGGTCTAAGACATACCTCTTGCATCAATTTGAACATCTTCAAAGCCTCTTCATCTCTTCCCACATTCACCAAACCATCTATCATCACATTGAATGTAATCTGATCATATACCGCATCTTCTGCTTCTTCAAAAACCTCAAATGCCTCCAAAACACTTCTGCAGTTAAAATACATAGTTAGCAGAGCATTAACAACAGAAGATCTACCCAAAAACCCAGTTTTAATCACTAACGTATGCACCTGCCTCCCAAAACCTAAACCCTCCAAAGCACAAGAACTCAAAACACTAGCAAAACTATAATTGTCATGCATAACACCCATCCTACGCATTTCTCCAAACAACCCAATAGCCACCTCCTCACAGCCATTCTCTGCGCACCCGGTAATCATCGCATTCCAAATCGCCACATTACGCTTTTCAGGCATTGTATCAAACAGCTTAGATGCATAATCCACATGCCCCAGTTTAGTACATGCCGACAACAGCGTCGTCCAGGAATAAACATCGGGGTTTTCAATCTCATCGAAAACCCATTTCACAGAATTCAAATTTTCGGCTTTCGCATAGAGTGAGAGCAGCGTGTTGGCGACGTGAGGGTAGGCTTTAAGGCCAGTTCGGATGGCGTGGGCGTGGAGTTGGGTTCCGAAAACGACGTCGCGGGAGTTAGCACAGGCCGTGACGGCTGCAGAGAGCGTGTAGTGGTCTGGTCTTACGGATTGCGAGGACAGGATTTGGGTGAAAAGTTGGAGGGCCTCTGAGTAACAATGGGAGCGAGTGAGCTTTGCGAGACTTTGGTTCAGTTTGAGGATCTGCTCACCGGCGACTTCAGCTATGGTCTTTGTGGTTTCTTTGTAGAAGTGAAACTTCATAGCTCATTTGATTTTCTTTTTATTTTCTGAACTTTCCAGTCATGGCGTTTGGTATAATGTTATGGTTTGTGCAGGCCTTGGTTGAAGAAGAAGCTCCGAGTCTCTGAGACTCGACTTTAAACTTTAAACCTTAAACCGTTGGCTCCCGCCATTGGGCGCGCATAAACGACGGAGTTATTAGTTCTTTCCTTTTTCTGGATTTTAGCAGTGAATGGTGAAATTCCACTCCTGTCCAATCTCTAACCCTCCAAGTCACTATCTAAATTCTATTGACAAAATATTTTGGTATAGTTGTTCCTTTGTTAGTTGTATACCAAATCATTCTAAGAGTAGGGGATGTTTTACTATGACTATTTATTGTAATTTGTAATTTCTTTGGTCCGATCTATGTACGTGTTCTTTTTTGTAAGAGGCTTGAAAGTTGTAACTCAAGTACTCGAGGTTCTGCATTCGAATCCCCCCTCTCCCAATATCGCTTGTGTTAAGAAAAAAAAGAAGACACAAGGCGTGGCGAGAACTTCATTTTTATTTGTGTTACTTAGCAAAATTGTGTTTTATTTAAGGCTATACTTGGACTTTATATGCATTAGTGTATTACTTTTCACAATAACATTGGTAACATGTAATAACAAGTTTAATTAATTTTCATCTTGCCACACTTTCAATGCTAAACAGATACTTGATTACAATGAATATATATGACCAAGAGATATATTTTTCTTATTTGATCAATGGATGGACAAATTCAAACTTAAGATATCTTCTAATTAGGAAATGATGTAACACTCTAGTCTCTACTAAGAATATTTTCACACAAAAACATATGACTTTGTGACATTAATCATAATTATAAGTTGTAAAATTTATACCTAACCAACAAGCACACAACACAAATTTTTTATTTTTTATTTCCCAAAGAAATGAACATGTCATTACCATAAAAAAGAAGAGTTACATACCCAACACAAAAATCAGAAAAATAAAAGCAAGATTCAACCAAACAAAATAAAAGCCCAATCCAAAACACAACACAACTATGTGACTACTTTCTTCTTCCCTTCAATTTTCGTCTACACAGTTTGTAAGAGCATCCACAGTGGGGGGTATAAATTCAGGGGTGTAAAGCCACTTTTACATTCCCTTTACACCTCCGGGGAATGTAAATAAGTTTTTGCTCCAGTGAAGGGGTGTAAATTCGGGACTGTAGCCGTGGGTCCTAACCTTTTATGCTAACCTTTCTTCATTTTTCTTCTCTTTTCTCGGGTGGGTCCTGCTTGCAAAAGATGTAAAAATAGATGTAAATATACATTTTATTTTACATCCCCATGGTGGTGATGTATATTTACATCCATTTACATCTCTCCATTGGAGACCATTCCGGTGACTTGGGGGTGTATATTTAACATACACCCCTATATACACCCTTTCATTGTGGATGCTCTAACTTTGCGTAAATGACCTAATACCAAAACGCACCGTTTAGTTTGTGTCAAGAAATGCTTCAGCAAATTAGACATGGCGGTACGAGAATGTTGAGCTGAGTTGAGTTGCAGAGGTAGACAACATGCGGAGGTTATGTCAACAAACCACGTCTCTCTGCACCAAACACCATCTCTCACTTTCCTCCAAACCAAACAGCCCCTTCAACTTCTTTCACACAAACCACAAACCCACCAAGCAAACAAACAACCCCCATGTCTTCAGCGAAAGAAGATCCGGGTTCGGGTTGGTCCGCCTCGAAACCGACCCAGAACCATCACCGGACGACCCAAACCACTGCGAATTCGCCGCCGACGTGGAGAAGATTTACAGAATATTAAGGAAATTCCACTCGAGGGTCCCTAAACTCGAGCTGGCTCTGGAACAATCCGGCGTCGTTTTGAGGTTGGGCTTGGCCGAGCGAGTGCTTAACCGGTGCGGGGATGCTGGGAATTTAGGGTACAGGTTCTTCGTGTGGGCTTCGCAGCAGCCTAATTACAGACCCAGTTACGAAGTGTACAAAGCCATGATCAAAAGCTTGAGCAAAATGCGTCAATTCGCTGCCGTTTGGGCTCTGCTTGAAGAAATGAGGAAAGAGAACCCACATCTGATTACCCAAGAAGTTTTTGTCGTTTTGATGAGACGGTTTGCGTCCGCGAGAATGGTGAAGAAGGCAGTTGAGGTGCTCGACGAAATGCCTAAGTACGGGTGTGAACCCGATGAGTATGTGTTTGGTTGTTTGTTGGATGCTTTGTGTAAAAATGGTAGTGTTAAAGAAGCAGCTTCGCTGTTTGAGGATATGCGTGTGAGGTTTACACCGAGTGTTAAGCATTTTACGTCTTTGTTGTATGGTTGGTGTAGAGAAGGAAAGCTTATGGAGGCCAAATTCGTGTTGGTGCAAATGAAGGAAGCTGGGTTAGAGCCTGACATTGTGGTTTTTAACAATTTGTTAAGTGGGTATGCTCAAGCTGGGAAGATGGTTGATGCGTATGAGCTTTTAAAGGAGATGAGAAGGAAGGGTTGTGAGCCCAATGCTGCTTCATATACGACTGTGATTCAGGCACTTTGTGGTCGAGAAAAGATGGAGGAGGCAATGAGAGTGTTTGTTGAGATGCAGAGGAGTGGTTGTGAGGCTGATGTTGTGACTTACACTACTTTGATTAGTGGGTTTTGTAAGTGGGGGAAGATTGAGAGGAGTTATGAGATTTTGGATGGTATGATACAGAAAGGTTTTATGCCGAATCAGATGACTTACATGCACATTATGCTGGCTCATGAGAAGAAGGAAGAGCTGGAGGAATGTGTGGAATTAATGGAGGAGATGAGAAAGATTGGTTGCATTCCTGATCTTGGTATTTACAACACCTTGATTCGATTGGCATGCAAATTGGGGGAGGTGAAGGAAGGTGTTCGACTTTGGAACGAAATGGAAGTTGCTGGGTTTTCTCCAGGGCTTGATACCTTTGTCATTATGATTCATGGGTTTCTTGGGCAAGGTTTTTTGATTGATGCTTGTGATTATTTTAAAGAAATGGTTGGGAGAGGTCTTCTATCTGGCCCACAATATGGTACCTTGAAGGAGTTGATGAATGCTTTGTTGAGAGATGAGAAGCTAGAAATAGCAAAGGATGTTTGGAGTTGCATTGTGACTAAAGGATGTGAGCTCAATGTCTCTGCATGGACAATTTGGATTCATGCACTGTTTTCAAAGGGGCACGTGAAGGAGGCTTGTTCATACTGCTTGGACATGATGGAGGCAGATGTGATGCCACAGCCGGATACCTTTGCGAAGCTCATGCGTGGTTTAAGGAAACTTTATAACAGACAGATTGCAGCTGAGATCACCGAGAAGGTGAGGAAGATGGCTGCAGATAGGCAGATCACTTTCAAGATGTATAAACGACGAGGTGAGAGGGACTTGAAGGAAAAAGACAAGGAGAAAAAAGATGGGAGGAAACGGAGGGCTCGCAGAAGGCGTTGGCCTAGTAAAGCTAAAGCTTTATAGTTTGAATGAGAAAACTGAAGGTTGTGTATCCAAGTCACAGAGAGAGATGAATCTGGTATGCACTTCTCGCAATAGGGGCATCATTTGACCTGTTTTATCCTAAGCATTATCGCAGCCTCTCTTCATCTCTTTCTTCCTTCTGTCTAGATCTCGCAGCCACGAAATTATTGCCAATGACTCTCTCTTTCCTCTCCTCCGTCAACAAACAAAATAAAATCCCAACAAAAAAGAACAAAAATTCAAACATATAAGATTAAAAAGGATTTAGAATACTTTATTAATTTTTATTCTTCAGTTGTAAACGAAGTGCTAAAATATGAAAACTATGAGAGAATATTTGTTTGTGGGAATTTTCTGTGTATTCTTCTTCTTGTAGGAGGTCATATTTATAATACAACGAAACCTGAATGGACAAGTAAATAATAAATTCATAAATCTATTTACAGCAGGAAATCAAGAATTAAAGTAAATCAATTACAATTATAATAGGAATTCTTGGTGTGTAAGGAAAGTAAGTCAATATCCACAAGTCACGCCAACACTCCTCCTCACGTTGGTGCATAGATGTCGCCAATGTCCAACTGATCCAGTGAATTGTGGAATGCTTTACTGGAAATCGCCTTTGTCAAAATATCAGCCAATTGATTCTCGGATTTCACAAAAAGAAATTGAAACACTTTAGCCTTAAGCTTTTGTTTGATGAAGTGTCGATCCACCTCAACATGTTTAGTACGATCATGCTGAACCGGATTCTGTGCAATGGCTATAGCAGCCTTGTTGTCACAAAAGAGATTCATTGTGGATGTAGGTTCATACCCAAGTTCAGTAAGCAACTTTCTTAACCAAAGAAGTTCACAAATCCCTTTAGTCATGCCTCTGAACTCGGCTTCTGCACTAAATAAAGCTACTACATTCTATTTCTTGCTCCTCCATGTCACAAAATTACCTCCCACGAATGTGAAGTAACCCGATGTGGATTTTCTATATGTTATATTACCTGCCAATCTGCATCTGAATAACCATCAATATTTAGATGACCATGCTTTGAGAACATAAGTCCTTTTCCAGGTGCATACTTCAAATATCTAAGTATCCAAAGAACTGCATTCATGTGGTCTTCACTTGGAGAGTGCATAAATTGATTGACAATGCTCACCGCATAAGCAATGTCTGGTCGAGTATGTGACAAATAGATGAATCTTCCTACTAACCTTTGGTATATTTCTTTGTTAGTTGGAACTTGATTCGGATATTCTCCAAGATGATGATTCTGAACAATAAGAGTGTCCGCAGGTTTGCAATCTAGCATTCCTGTGTCTGTCAACAAGTCCAAGACATATTTCCTTTGAGAGAGAAATATGCCTTGCTGTGATCGAGCCACCTTAATTCCCAAGAAATACTTGAGTCCACCTGAATCCTTCATCTCAAACTCTGTAGCCAGATAGTCTTGTAGCTGTGATATTTCATGTTTATCATTCCCAGTAATAATCATATCATCAACATAGATTATTAATGCTGTTACCTTCCCTTTCCGATGTTTCAAGAACAGAATATGATCTGAGTTGTACTGTTTGAAACCATTGTTCTTCATTGCCATGGTGAACCGTCCAAACCATGCACGTGGTAACTGTTTCAATCCATACAATGCTTTTCGTAACCTGTAAACTGTTCCAGTCTGAGTAGTATTATATCCAGGAGGAATGTCCATGTACACCTCCTCCGTGAGTTCGCCATGTAGAAAAACATTCTTTACATCAAACTGGTGTAGTGACTAATCCAAATTAGCTGCAAGAGACAATAAGACTTTGACGGTGTTTAACTTTGCAACTGGAGCAAAGATTTCTTCATAGTCTATACCATATGTCTGTGTGTACCCTTTTACCACAAGTCTTGCCTTGTATCGCTCGATAGATCCATCTGCATTGTGTTTTATAGTAAACACCCATCTACATCCGATAGTCTTTTTTCTTCGTGGTATAATCTCCAATGTCCAAGTCTGATTTTTCTCAAGAGTTTTCATATCTTCTTTTATAACTTGGACCCACTTAGGATTTTTCAATGCTTCAGAGACTTTGGTTGGAATATGGATAGCAGACAACTGATGCACAAAAGCCTTGAGTGGTTCAGATAGCTTCTCAGTGGATACATGATTTGTGATTGGATACTTGATTTGTGATTGGATACTTGGATGTCTTGCCAATATCATGTGAATAACGGTTTGGTGGCTTCCCACGAAAGGTAATTGATATCCAGTAGTTTTATCCTCTAAATGCACAAGTCTAGTAGGAGTAGTTACCTCAAGAGTATTCTCAGGAGATTGGTCTGTTGGTACTGTTGAGTTAGAGGGGAGGTCGGCTCTGATACCATGCTAAAATATGAAAACTATGAGAGAATATTTGTTTGTAGGAATTTTCTGTGTATTCTTCTCCTTGTAGGATGTCATATTTATAATACAACAAAACCTGAATAGGCAAGTAAATAATAAATTTCTAAATCTATTTACAGTAAGACATCAAGAATTAAAGTAAATCAATTACAATTATAATAGGAATTCTTAGTGTGTAAGAAAAGTAATTCAATATCCACAAGTCACGCCAACACAAAGATGTCACAATTACAGCAACATATTGAACATTATCCAAATAAAATTTGAGATCACCAAAATTTAGGTCTTCCGCGGAAGTATATCAAATCCAAAGGATTAGGACCAGCATACTTATCACGTACTGCAACATCATAATTTGCGCGGGGCAATGACCCATCTTTGACCTTAATGACAAGGACAATATGAAGGCCTGTTACCTCGTAGCGTGTTTTGCCCTTGACCACGCTTTCAATCACCAAATTCTTCTTCTCATGCTTGTTATACGAAGAGACAGCGAACTCTGCTGTATTTATCCATTTTTTTTTTCTTTTGTCAAACGATGGAAGAATTTTTTTATTTATCCCATTTAAACTTCCCATCCACACGAGATACATGCGCTGCTACCAGATGAGCAGCTGCATTGCACCTACAATTCACAAAAGTGGAAGATACCTAACCCACTTGAGAGGCCAGTAACTTAATATCATGAATAATGCCGTCAATAGCAGTATCCGTATCCGTATTCATGTTACCAGTTAGCATCGCAACAAGCTGTTTACAGTCTGTCTCCACCATTATCCTAGTAACCCGCGCCTCCAAACCCGGTGCCACCTCCTCTCGCACTGCTTCTGCTTCAGCGGCCAGAGCCGACTGGCACGAAAAACCCCTCACACCCCCTCCCATTTCCATCCAGCCATTACTGTCTCAAGCCACCCATCCTGCTCCACCCCTCATGTGCGCTTGCGTCCAAGCACCATCGACTTAGAGTAGATTAAATGTGCTCAATTATAATCTGAGCTGTCAGTCAAAATGCTTTTGTACACAGCATTCACACTCTTTTATCTTTCTACATGAGATAAAGAATTCCATCTTCTTATCTCACGAAAAGTGTGTTAGGTTCTCATTGTTTTAGATTTGCTAAGCTATAGCTAAGCTTATCTTGCAGTTTTTCTATATGGGGTCTCTTATATCAACACTATTTTTCCTCTTCTTTTTCTTGGGTACAATTTCGGGTGTGCCCTATAATGAGATGAAATATGATTTTCAAGACTATGTTTCAAACACCATCATGGTCGATAAGAGTGGTCGAGGAAATTTTCCCACAGTGCAAGAAGCCATCGATTCTATACTGTCAAATAACTCTTTGTGGACTCGTATCCTTATTAACCATGGTCTCTACATGTAAGTAGCACAAACTTCTTCAAGTTTAAATTATTTTTTTCTAATCTATATAATAAAAATCGAAACTCTAAATATATGACATTTTCATTAGGGAAAAAGTTGTGATTCCTCGAAACAAACCATATATTATTCTTGAAGGCGACCCTAGACATGTTACCGCAATTGAATATGGAGATTTTGGCAGTGTTATTGACAGTCCTACATTCAAGTTGTTTGCAGATAATTTTGTGGCACGAAATATAATATTCAAGGTTAAAATTCATGTAGATGGTGTTTGTTTGTTTGTTTGTTTTGAAGTTACTATCATTTATTTATCGTTTACAGTTTTAATTATGGTGGTTACAGAATTCATACGACTGTCTTATCACATCGGATCCAAATGGAAGGAAAACTACTTGGGCACCTGCAGCTTCAATTTCTGGAGATAAAGCAAGTTTTTATCATTGTGCTTTCATTAGTTTGCAAGACACATTGAGTGATGACGTTGGTCGTCACTATTATTATGACTGCTTTGTTGAAGGGGCTATAGACTTCATTTGGGGCAATGGCCAATCAATTTATGAGGTAAATTTCTTTATTTTCTCTCGTACCCTATTTGGTGGCCGTGACGGGACAGAATTGGGACTAAATTAATTCGAGTCTTATTAAATTTCACTATTTTAGATAGGACTTATAAGACATAATATGTTGAAATATTTCCTTGCAGAAATGCCAGTTAAGATCAGTAACAGACAAAATAGGTGTACCTGGTTTTATCACAGCGCAGGGTCGTAAGGGCCTAAAGGAAACTAGCGGTTATGTATTCAAAGATTGCTATGTAAATGGAACAGGCCCTATATTTTTAGGCAGACCATACAGAAATTATTCAAGAGTATTGTTTGCCTCCACATATATGGAAAATATTATAACCCCAGAGGGTTGGTCCACATGGGAAAAGAGATCACTGTAAGTTTTCTTTTTTATTTTATATTTTATATATCATTGTCTATGTGAAGAGAATATTAAAATTATGCCAGATATTAAACTCTAATTCTCTTGTTTTTTTCTTGACATTATATCGAACAGGAATTTAATCACATTCTCAGAAGTGAATTGCAAAGGTCCTGGAGCAGATATGTCCCATCGTGTCCCATGGGAGAAGAAGTTATCAGATCAGGAAGTGGCATATTTAACAAATCCAGCTTCTTTCATAGACCAAGAAGGATGGTTGGGAAAACAACCCAATTAAGCCCTTGATATCAATAATAATTAGTTCCTTTTTTGGGTCTTCCATCAATAACCGGTCGTTAAGGCAACAAAGAAGGATGGTGCAAAATGTCTTTGTGAATGGACTAAGTACACATCTTTGTAATGTTATGTGGTCTTGATTGAAAAATTGAATAAGCTTCTTCGATAACATATGAGGTTTTTGTGTACTAGGATAGGATGTGCTGTTTGTTTGCTTGGTGTGAGTTTGTGGTTTGTGTGAAAGAGGTTGAAGAGGATGTTTGGTTGGAGGGAAAGTGAGAGATGGTGTTATTTGCCTCTTCAACTCAACGCAGCTCAACATTCTCGTACCACCATATCTAACATTGCTAATGTTCTCAATCAAACCAAATGGTCAACTTAATAGAAGACTTAAATTGGTCAAATTTGAAAATCATAGGGTATAAATTGATGAAATTAAAACTCAGTAACCCATATTGAGAATGACCCCAAACATCCAAATGGTGTTTTGTCGTTAACCCAGTTATTTATTTATCATCTAACTACCGTCTTTTTTTTTTTTTTTTTTTCTTTCTTTCTATGCAACCTATCATGAAATAATAGGATAACGTAATAATGTACCTAATTTTTCTTAAGAATAATGTGCCTATATTTTGCTTATAGATAATGTACCTATTTTTTTATTATTATTATATAAGTATGTATCTATCTATTTACCTATCTTGTATTAGATATGTAGGTAAATTATTTTTAATTAAAACTACAGATATGTAGGTAAATTATTGATGTTGCTAGGTAAGGTACATATAGCGATTGGTTTTTTTATTTTTTTTATTTTTTTTATTTTTTTTATTTTTTTATTTTAAATCTTTTAATCTTTTAATCTTTATATTTTATATGGGTTGCTATTATTATTTTTGGTTGGAATAGATGCTTTATTAAAAAATAATATGCACCATAAGAGTGTACAAAGATAGCACTGAAACAACTAATACTATCCAAAACCCAAGTATGAGAGATAAGAACGAATGTCTGATATTTAAAAAGAGATTTTCTATTTAAACCCTACACTTCTCACTACTACATTTTACAATTTGTGCAACGAAGAGAATTTCATCGCGCAAGGTTTAGTCGCAAAAATTTCAGCGCGACAGAAACTTTGTCGCGCAGAATCCGTCGCGCAAAGATCGTAAAGAAAGACTTTGCGTGACGAAAAAATATTGGTCGCGCAAACTTTTGCACCACGAAAAACATTGGTCGGGCAAAGTCTTAAAAAAATAAAAAAAATAAAAAAATTCCCGCGTCCCTTTTTTGGTACCCGCCCAAATTTTTAGAGTTTTGCGAGATGAATATTAATTTTTTTAAATTTTTATTTTTTAAATTTAATTTAATTGTATGATTTTTTTAAATTACTTTAATTTAAATTGATATTAATTTAATTATATTAATTTATTCAAATTTTTACTTTTTAAATTTAATTTAATTGCGTGATTTTTTTTAATTACTTTAACAAACATTCAGAGATCTAGTAACGGGACAAAACTTTTCGATGGTTATAAATGAAAAATCACGATTCAACGGTGATTTTAACTCCGATTTTGATGATTTTTTTATAGTTACACTCCTTGACCCTATATGAATACAATGAATGAATTTGATCTTCAATTTAAAATATTTACACTAGTGGATACCGCAAAATCTTATGTTATATTTAACGAAAATATAGATAAACTCTTAATTGTTAGTAAATATATTGTTTTGATGGCATACGCATTCTACTAAACTAGTTTCAACTATCCAACTGTCAAACTTGTTTGTTTATACTTCGAGATCATATACGCCAAAAAAAAAAAAAAAATTCAGAGATCAAGTAATGGGACAAAACTTTTCGACGGTTACAAATGAAAAATCACGATTTAACGGTTATTTTAACTCCGATTTTGATTATTTTTTACAGCTACACTCCTTGACCCTATATGAATACAATGGCTGAATTTGATCTTCAATTTAAAATATTTACACTAGTGGATACCTCAAAATCTTATGTTATATTTAACGAAAGTATAAATAAACTCTTAATTGTTAGTGAGTATATTGTTTTGATGGCATACACATTCTACGAAACTAGTTTCAACTATCCAACCGTCAAACTTGTTTTTTTTATACTTCGAGATCATATATGCCAAAAATCGGAAAAAATAAACATTCAGAAATCAAGTAATTGGACAAAACTTTTCGACGGTTATATATGAAAAATCACGATTTAATGGTTATGTTAACTCCGATTTTGATGATTTTTTTTTACAGCTACACTCCATGACCCTATATGAATATAATGAATTAATTCGGTCATCAATTTAAAATATATATTTTCTAACAATAGCCCAATATGAACTACAATAATATATTTTTCTAACAAAAATCCGATGCGAACTAAAATAATAAATTTAAAGCCACTTAATGCATACAAAATAAAAAATAAAATAAAAATGGATTAGGTGATGAAATATTTGGATTATGTCATGTAAAGATTTAAAAAAATAATTTTTTTATTTTTGTAAAAACTTTGCGCGTCGAAACACACTTTGTCGCTAAAGACTTTGTGCAACGAAGTTTATTGTTTCATCGCGCAAAATTACTTTGAGCGACGATGTATTGTTGTCGCTCAAAGTCACTTTGTGCGACGAATTGTTTTTCGTCGAGCAAAGTTTGGTTGCCCAAGACTTTGGGCGACGAAGTATTGTCGTCGTGCAAAAGTTTGTCGCGCAAAGTCACTTTGCGCGACTAATTTTTTTCGTCGCGCAAGACTTTGAGCGACAAATTTTTTAGTTTCGTCGCGCAAAGTGACATTGAGCGACCATTAGTTTTTCGTAGCACAAGGGTTTTTTTTTTACTAGTGTCTCTTAGTTCACCCCATGTTCTAAAGTTCACTCCAACTTTAATTTAAATTTTCACAATTTGTAAGAAAACCCCACTATCTTCCCAAACAACCCTTAAATACTCCCCAAACTGAAAAAATTGGAATTAAAAGAGATTTTCTATATAAACCCCACAATTTTCTTTGTTCCCAGCAAAAAAAAAAAAAAAAAATAAACACAAACAAATGAAACCTCAAATCCGAAATTTAATACTTTCTAGAGAAAGGGAACAACTTTATCTCTCTCCAAGAATTGTAACTGGAATTCTAACACTTTGGTATTGTTGAGAGAGAGAGAGAGAGAGAGAGAGTTTGTTAACAGGAAGTTGGAAGGAGGCTTCTAAACCTTAATATGAAGAGTGGTGGGGGTGTGTGTATAGATGTACTAGGGTTAATTATTAAGTTAGATGACCTTTTTTGTCTTTTTACACAATAATAAAACTTACAGCTTAATGATTTAAGTAGTGAGAGTGAACAAAGAGAAGTGCGGGGTATTAACAATCTCTCACTTTCCTTCCAACCAAACATCCACTTCAACCTCTTTCACACAAACCACAAACCCACACCAAGCAAACAAACAACACATCCCAGTACACAAAAACCTCATATGTTATCGAAGCTGATTCAATTTTTCAATCAAGACCTCTTAACATTACAAAGATGTATACTTAGTCCATTGACGAAGACATTTTGCACCATCCTTCTTTGTTGCCTTAACAACGGGTTATTGATGGAAGACCCAAAAAAGGGACTAATTATTATTGATATCAAGGGCTTAATTGGGTTGTTTTCCCAACCATCCTTCTTGGTCTATGAAAGAAGCTGGATTTGTTAAATATGCCACTTCCTGATCTGATAACTTCTTCTCCCATGGGACACGATGGGACATATCTGCTCCAGGACCTTTGCAATTCACCTCTGAGAATGTGATTAAATTCCTGTTCGATAATGTCAAGGAAAAAACAAGAGAATTAAAGTTTAATATCTGGCATAATTTTAATATTCTCTTCACACAGACAAAGATATATAAAATAAAAAAGAAAAAAGAAAACTTACAGTGATCTCTTTTCCCATGTGGACCAACCCTCTGGGGTTATAATATTTTCCATATATGTGGAGGCAAACAATACTCTTGAATAATTTCTGTATGGTCTTCCTAAAAATATAGGGCCTGTTCCATTTACATAGCAATCTTTGAATACATAACCGCTAGTTTCCTTTAGGTCCTTACGACCCTGCGCTGTGATAAAACCAGGTACACCTATTTTGTCTGTTACTGATCTTAATTGGCATTTCTGCAAGGAAATATTTCAACATATTATGTTTTATAAGTCCTATCTAAAATAGTGAAATTTAATAAGATTCAAATGAATTTAGTCCCAATTATGTCCCGTCACGGCCACCAAATAGGGTACGAGAGAAAATAAGAAATTTACCTCATAAATTGATTGGCCATTGCCCCAAATGAAGTCTATAGCCCCTTCAACAAAGCAGTCATAATAATAGTGACGACCAACGTCATCACTCAATGTGTCTTGCAAACTAATGAAAGCACAATGATAAAAACTTGCTTTATCTCCAGAAATTGAAGCTGCAGGTGCCCAAGTAGTTTTCCTTCCATTTGGACCCGGTGTGATAAGACGGTCGTATGAATTCTGTAACCACCATAATTAAGACTTTAAACGATAAATAAATGATAGTAGCTTCAAAACAAACAAACAAACACTATCTACATGAATTTTAACCTTGAATATTATATTCCGTGCCACAAAATTATCTGCAAACAACTTGAATGTAGGACTGTCAATAACACTGCCAAAATCTCCATATTCGATTGCGGTATCATGTCTAGGGTCGCCTTCAAGAATAATATATGGTTTGTTTCGAGGAATCACAACTTTTTCCCTAATGAAAATGTCATATATTTAGAGTTTCGATTTTTATTATATAGATTAGAAAAAAATAATTTAAACTTGAAGAAGTTTGTGCTACTTACATGTAGAGACCATGGTTAATAAGGATACGAGTCCACAAAGAGTTATTTGACAGTATAGAATCGATGGCTTCTTGCACTGTGGTAAAATTTCCTCGACCACTCTTATCGACCATGATGGTGTTTGGAACGTAGTTTTGAAAATCATATTTCATTTCATTATAGGGTGCACCCGAAATTGTACCCAAGAAAAAGAAGAGGAAAAATATGGTTGGTATAAGAGAATCCATATCACAATACTGCAAGAGAAGCTAGTTTAGCAAATTTAGAACAATGAGAACCTAATTTGGCTTAGGAAGATGGAAATTCTTCATCTCATATATAGAGAGATAAAAAGTGTCTGAATGCTGTGCACAAAATCCTTTTGACTGACAACTCAGATTAATTAAGCACAATGAATCTACTCTAAGTCGCCGACTCTAGAAAAAATATATATGTTCACACGAAAAATTGGCAACCACTTAATAGGGAGTTATTATTAGCACTTCAAATTAGCCAATAATAATTACCTTTTGAGATATCTCTTATTTTTATGTGGATATACATTAATGTGGCATCTTACATGATAATAAATAAGTAGCTTTTGCCAACAGGTCTAGCCTAGGAGAAAAGGGCCTTGACTTGTAGACTAATGGTCTCAAGTATGACACCAGTAGCGTGAGAAAGTCCCTCCTCCTTGTAGTTTATTTAGACCATTGCTTAAATAAAAAAAAAATAAAAAAATAAAAATCAGTAGCTTCTAACTATGCCATTTCTTGCCACATAAATTTATATTCTTACTTGGACGGGTTTGCGGTAAGTATTAGTCTCTGTCTTTCAAAAATTGGAAAAAATTACAATTGTGATACAACGGGCCCCTTCCTCACCCAAACTATCATGTTAACCAACATTTTTTTACGGAACACTTAAGTTGACATATTTTTTGCTTACATAATGGGTACGCGAGATCAATTCCATGTGTGTAATTTTTTTATTTGTTGTCTATTTGTCAAAAAAATTTCAAAAAAATTAAATTGACAGTTAAACATGGGAAGGAACCAATGTAAGAATTCATAAGTTTAAGGTTGTTTTTGTTAATTTTTAAAAGAAATGAACTAAATTGTCACTGACCCCAATCTACAGGCGTGCATAGGTAATTGATACAGTAATTAATTATCTAGTTCAAAACAAACAAACAAATACGATCTACGTGAATTTTAACCTTGAATATTATATTTTGTGCCACAAAATTATCTGCAAACAACTTAAATGTAGGACTGTCACTAACACTGCCAAAATCTCCATATTCGATTGCAGTAACATGTCTAGGGTCGCCTTCAAGAATAATATATGGTTTGTTTCGAGGAATCACAACTTTTTCCCTAATGAAAATGTATGAAAATGTCATATATGTATATATATTTAGAGTTTCGATTTTTATAAAAATAAACTTGAAGAAGTTTGTGCTACTTACATGTAGAGACCATGGTTAAAAGGATACGAGTCCACAAAGAGTTATTTGAGAGTATTGCGTGCGTCTTGGGCCTGGAGTAGCCTCTTAGTTGGTCGTGAAATTATTGAGAATGGTGCTCGCTGACAAATCGGTAACGGTCGTTCGGTGGATGTGTGGAAGGATCGCTGGTTAATGGGCTGTGGCTCAGGAAAAATCTCCCCCCTCCCCTCCAATAACCGCTTCACCCCCTACTGGTTTCTGATCTCATCGATGTGGACAACAAGACCTGGAATATCTCTCACATTGAGCCTTTCATTCCTCCATGCGAGGCTACTAAAATCCGTACTACTCCCATTGGCACCCCTTCTACTTGTGACCGTTTGGTGTGGCCTGCGGTAAAAACTGGAGACTACTCTGTTAAAACTGGTTATTATCATGTCATCAATGACTTCCCTCCCGTCTTTAGAGATAGAACTTCTGCTTCCCATGCAGTGAATATTGATGTTTGGAAAGTTATATGGAGGGCTTGCACCACTCCTAAAATCAGGACCTTTATGTGGCGTGCATTATCGAACTCCATTCCCACGAGTGCAAATCTCTTTAAGAGGAAACTATCCTCCTATTTGTAGCTTATGTGGTTTGTTTCCTGAGACGGTGGAGCACATGCTACTGCTTTGTCCTTGGACGAGGGCGGTTTGGTTCGGCTGTCCTTTTGGGTACTCTCCGGACTTGGCCTCCATTTCCACCCTGGACTCTTGGTTCCCTGGTTTTCTGAGTAGCACCTTTGTTGATGGTGATCAAAGGGATTGGGGAATCTCCCTTTTCATGTTTTGCTCCTAGGAAATTTGGAAGGCTCGATGTAAGGCGGTTTTCAATGATCTTAGGCCCTCTCCTCTTCTGGTTTTCAATAGAAATGGTGGTGGTTAAAATAGATGAAATCTTGAAAAACGCAAAACATACAGAGAGGAAGTTAGTGGACAATGAGAGAGAGAGAGAGAGAGAGAGAGAGAGAGAGAGGGTTGGATAGGGAAAGCGACGGGGAGGGGAAGATCGGGTCAGAAAAGAGGATGTGATGCGACGAAGAGAAGGAGAAAACGGAAGTTGGGGAGCAGTTTCTCCCGAAAGACGATTCATGTTAAAATAAAAAGCTTGCATATTAATGTCATATGGGTTGCTATTGCTAAGGGCTTTTTTTTCATCAAGAATTCTGATTAAGGAATAAAATAATAAATTTTTTTTTTTGGTCAATGAATAAAATAATAATTAGGATAAGGAGTGTCCATACATATATGTTGGCAAATTATTTTTAATATATATATATATTATAGAATAATTGGACCATATATATTAATAGTAAATTTAAAACTAATCATCAATATCTATTTTTCTTAATAATATAAAAAATTATCAAACAAATAACTCAACAAGGAACATAAAATAAAAAAACCCATGGTTCATCAAATTGTTAATTAAAATTTACTCAAATAAATAAATAAACATATGTGGATTGATTTAGTGTTGATCTTTATTTTTTGGTCGAAATTTAGTATTGATCAAGAGATCCTATTATGTGTAATTTAGGGCTGGGCATCTGAAGCCGAAGAACCGAAATCGAACATGTTTAGAACCGTACCGCATCGAACTTGTGCCGTTTCATTTGGTTTTTGGTTGCATCTGGTATGATACCGAACTGTATCAACCTTGTATGGCATGAAAGCGGCACTAGATATTTGATATCGACAGAGCCCTTAGTTAAAGAAAAAAAAATCTCTCTATTTCTCGATCTCTCTCTATCTCACTCTCTCACTCCATTCGATAATTCCAAAACCCAAACCCCAATCGATCATTCAATCAATTCAATCCCCAAACAAAACCCTTCTCATCTCAACCCCAAATCAACGCATGGTTAAAGAAAAAAAGAAGATATATATGTATATATATATCTCTCAATCAGCCCCAAATCGACGAAGCCCCAAATATGTCAATGGTAAGTTCTTCTGATTTTTGTTAATTTGTCAGGGGTTTAGGGTTAATTTGTTGTTGTTTGCAACCAGCAACATTGGTATCGAAATGGTTATCAAACGAATCCTTAGGGAATGGTGTAATCCAAACATTTAAGGATGTTCAGGCTTGCAGTTTAACCAAACCAAAACGAACTTACTTCACTACTACATTTTAGTCTTTGCGCGACGAAAGGGTATTCGTCGCGCAAAAATGATTTTAGTCGCACATCATTATGCGCGACAGAAGTTTCGTCGCGCACAG